CCACTTTGTTTGCTCCTCCATAAGGAGCAAGTCCTCATCTGCTCTGGTTCAATCCTGAGATCGCAGCAGTTCAGTCACATCTTCAGGCTCCACTTCTAATTCCTGTTCTGCTGTTTCCACCACATCTGCGGTGACTTCCTCCACTGAAGCCTGGAACCTCCAAGGCATCCATCAGGGTTAGAATCAACTTGTTTGGAACTTCTCATAATGTTGGTAGTTTGACCTGCTCCCATGAATTACAAATATTCTTAATCACATCCATAATGGTGAATCCTTTCTATTTAATGGAACATTTCCGATTTTCTCTCCCTCCATTCTCCTACCAGAGAAATCACTCTCCATGGCAGTTGCATCCTTATGAAGTGTATTTCTCGAATAAGAAGACTTGTGAGGTGAATTGACTCCTTCACACAAGGGCTGCAGAAGGAATGTGTGTTAGCAGGCATGGAAATAACAATCTCCTTGTGCATCTCCATCAGAGCTCATAGGTGACCAGGTGCATTGTCAATGAGCAGTGGCCTCTTTGGGGGCCACGTGTCCAGTGGCGTCCTGCCCACGTGTGATCGGATTATCCAGCGGTACTTCATGTGTGATAGAATAGCTTATAGAGAAAGTGCACACACAGACAGCCAAGTCACAAATATCCTAAGCAAACTTTCATTCAACATATCCCATCTTGGAGATTCATTTAAATATGGAAGTGAGCATACACACAGCATGAAAATATCTAAGTCAATTTTTTAAAAAATAATTTGCTTTTTAAGCTCCCTAGAGCCTGATGTTAATATCCTAATTCACTCAGACTTTTCTGACTATGTTCTTGTTGAATATGAAATCTTTCCTCTTTTAATACTGACTACCACACTGGAGAATAAAAAAATTTTCCTACGGGCCACAGTGTTTTATCACAACAATAGACTAAAAACTTTTGAAAGAAATCAAACCTTTCTAATTTAATGAAAAATTTAATGAAGAACAAAATTTATTTGTTTTGGAAATGATTAGCTAGTGATAGATTTTCAAGTGTGTCTCCTATGGTTTTGTCCACAGGGTTAGGGTTATACGGGCGTTTCCTATCTTAGTTTCAACTCCCTTTGTTTCTCCCTTTTGGTCTATGATGATCAGATCTTAATATGTATGTTTAGCCTCACGTTAAACTCTGGGCTACCAAGGCAGGTTCTGTGATTTGTTGTAATTACAACAGTCAAAAAATGCCAACAGCCCAGATGTTCATCAATAGAGAATAAGTAAATGGTGGGCTGGTTTATACAGTGGAATACCGCTAAAAAAATTAAAGGCACAAATAGGGAAGTGCACACAAAATTATGAATGCATCTCACAAACACTATGCGAAGTGAGAACAGGCTGACGAGGAAGAGTACCTGCTTCGTGGCACCATTTATGTGACACTCCAGAATAGGTCAAATTGTCTGTGGTAGAAAATATCAAAGTAACAGTTATTTCTGAAGGTGGGTTGGGGATTGATCAGGAAGGGGCAGGGGCACTTTCTGGGGTGATGTTTATGTTCTGCAAATTGCTAGGCCTGTGGGTCGCACAGGTGTAAGTATGTGTCAAAACGTCATGGCTGCACGTGGTGATGCGCGCCTGTAATCCCAGCACTTTGGGAGACTGAGGCAGGAGGGTCACTTGAGGCCAGGAGTTTGAGATCAGCCTGGGCAACAGAGCGAGACCTCATCTCTACATAAAAAAATCTAGGTGTGGTGGCCAGCCTGTAGTCCCAGCTACTGAGGAGGCTGAGGCAGGAGGATGGCTTGAGCAGGGGCTGGAGGTACAGAGAGCTGTGGTGACGCCACTGCACTCTACCCTGGCCACTGCACTGCACTCTGGTCTCCAGAGTGAGACCCTGTCTCAAAAATACATGCTAATTCTAAATAGGCCGTGAAACGTTCATATAGAATCATCCCTAGAACAACCACAAAAAGACTGCAAGGACATACAGACAACTCAATAGATAAAATGGAAACTAAAAACGTTTAAATAACACGGAAGAAGGCAGGAAAAGGAAACAGAGGAAAAGAGAAATAGAAGAAAGAAAATAAATATTAAAATAGCAGACCTGAGCCCAAATATGTCAATGATGACATTAAATATAAGTGGTCTAGGCAACCTTTTTCTGTAAAGGGTCAAGCAGCGCGTATTTGAGGCTTTGAGGGCCCTGTGGTCTCGGCCCCACCTGCTCCACGCTGCCCTGTGCGTGAAAGCAGCCGCCGCACATAGATGAGCGCGCGGCTGTGTATCAGCAAAGCTTTCTTATCCACTTTGCAGAGCAAATGACTCTTTTGTTTTTTCAATCTTTTTTTTGGGAGGGGGCAGGAGGGACAGAATCTCCCTCTGTGGCCCCAGGCTGGAGTGCAGTGGCATCATCACAACTCACTGCAACCTCACACTCCCAGGCTCAAGCGGTCCTCCTGCCTCAGCCTCCTGAGCAGCTGGGACTACAGGCATGTGCCACCATGCCCAGCTAATTTTTTCTATTTTTACTACAGACAGGGTCTCACCTTTGCTCACGCTGGTCTTGAACACCTGAGCTCAAGGGATCCTCCAGCTTCGGCCTCCCAGAGTGCTAGGATTACAGGAGTGAGCCTCCGCACCTGGCCAAATCATTTTTATTTTGATAACAGTTTGTGTTATCATAGCTCACAAGCCATAGGAAAATAGGTGGCGGGCCAGGTGTGGCCCACCGGTCACAGTGTGCAGCTCTCAACACACCAAACAGAAGACAAAGGATGTCCGAGTGAATTCGCAAAGCGAACTAAACAAATACCGCGCGTGAGGACTGCACGCTGCCGACCGCTGGTGTACGTAGGTTCAAGTGAAAGGCGGGACGGGAGTTGCAGAGGCCTGTGCGTGTGCATGTGACCCGCTGGGCGCTTGGCTTCCCCAGCTCCTGCTTGTCCTCGCCACCCCTCTCTTTCTCTGCTG